TGGGTGGGGTTATATCCTTCCTGTTTGGCCCTGTCCGGGGGTTTCTTCGGATGGGGCCACAGTGTCTCCGGACCGCTCCTGTCTCAGCCTCCAGTATTTATGCTGCAGTAGTTTATGTGTCGGGGGGCTGGGGTTAGTTGGTTATACCTGGAGTACTTATCCTGTCTTATCCAGTGTCCTGTGTGAATTTAAGTATGCTCTCTCTAATTCTCTCGTTCTCTCTTTCTCTCTGAGAACCTGAGCCCTAGGACCATACGTCAGGACTACCGGGCATGATGACACCTTGCTGTCCCCAGTCCGCCTGGCCTTGCTGCTATTCCAGTTTCAACTGTTCTGCCTGCGGCTACGAAACCCCTACCTGTCCCAGACCTGCTGTTTTCAACTCTTAATGATCGGCTATGAAAAGCCAAACTGAGAGACCTGAGCCCTAGGACCATACGTCGGGACTACCGGCCGTGGTGACTCCTTGCTGTCCCCAGTCCGCCTGGCCTTGCTGCTATTCCAGTTTCAACTGTTCTGCCTGCGGTTATGGAACCCCTACCTGTCCCAGACCTGCTGTTTTCAACTCTTAATGATCGGCTATGAAAAGCCAACTGAGATTTATTCCTGATTATTATTTGACCATGCTTGTCACTTATGAACATTTTTGAACATCTTGGCATGGTTCTGTTATAATCTCCACCCGGCACAGCCAGAAGAGGACTGGCCACCCCTCATAGCCTGGTTCCTCTCTAGGTTTCTTCCTAGGTTTTCGCCTTTCTAGGGAGTTTTTCCTAGCCACCGTGCTTCTACACCTGCATTACTAGCTGTTTGGGGTTTTAGGCTGGGTTTCTGTACAGCACTTCGAGATATTAGCTGATGTAAGAAGGGCTATATAAAATAAAATTGATTGATTGATTGAAACCACTAGGAGCAGAGCTCCCCTATGGGGCGGAGCTCCACGATATAGAACCTTTATTTTAAGATACACTATTATAAAGAAATTATTTATTAAGCCAAATGTTATCGTGTGAAAAATTTTATGGCATAGCTTCATACAGTAACTAATAAAGACCTTCTCAGTTATGTTATGTACTTACCAAAACTCCCGCCAAGAAGCACAATAGCTGCGGTTCTAAACCATTGTTGACTTTTGTTGTTATTGATACAAACAAACAAGTCCAGCAACAACATACCTAGAAATAGAATTACAAGACAGGAGAGACCACTTTTAGCATTAAGCCATTTTAGCACCCAAGTGGCCCTGAATGTATTTTTTTACTGGGAATCAGTCATATTGAGACGCAGGTGCCTTATTTAGAAACGTTTGATATGCGCGAAATATTTCCCAAAACATAAGTGCTCCAGTTTTCACGCAAAGGGCATTTATAAAAACTGAACTTAATGTGCTCATCCTCCAGCAAACGTTAGACCATGCTTGTGCACAGTTTCTAGTGGTTGAAGTAGGTATTTTGCTTTGCAAGAAGGCAAAAGTAGCCTAATAGGAGTAGCCTTGTGCAAATGGAGAATATATGATGAAACTTATAACAAAAAAAACAGGTAGCTAAGTATAATAACAAGATGCAATAATTTGCCCTCACTACAGATGACTAGTAAAGGACTAGTAAAGGCCCAGCGCATTATATATTTTTTTATATAGGATATATACAGTACCAGTCAAAAGTTTGGACATACCTACTCATTCAAGGGTGTTTCTTTATTTTTACTATTTTCTACATTGTAGAATAATAGTGAAGATATCAAAACTATGAAATAATACATATGGAATCATGTAGTAACCAAAAAAAGTGTTAAACAAATTTAAATATATTTTATATTTGAGAATCTTCAAAGTAGCCACCCTTTGCCTTGATGACAGCTTTGCACACTCTTGGCATTCTCTCAACCAGCTTCATGAGGTAGTCACCTGGAATGCATTTCAATTAACAGGTGTGCCTTATTAAAAGTTAATTTGTGGAATTTCTTTCCTTAATGCGTTTGAGCCAATCAGTTGTGTTGTGACAAGGTAGGGGTGGTATACAGAAGATAGCCCTACAGTGGCTTGCGAAAGTATTCACCCCCATTGGCATTTTTCCTATTTTGTTGCCTTACAACCTGGAAATAAAATAGATTTTTGGGGGGTTTGTATCATTTGATTTACACAACATGCCTACCACTTTGAAGATGCAAAATATTTTGTTTTTGTGAAACAAACAACAAATAAGACAAAAAAACTGATTCAGCGTGCATAACTATTCACCCCCCCAAAATCAATACTTTGTAGAGTCACCTTTTGCAGCAATTACAGTTGCAAGTCTCTTGGGGTATGTCTCTATAAGCTTGGCACATCTAGCCACTGGGATTTTTGCCCATTCTTCAAGGCAAAACTGCTCCAGCTCCTTCAAGTTGGATGGGTTCCGCTGGTGTACAGCAATCTTTAAGTCATACCACAGATTCTCAATTGGATTGGAGGTCTGGGCTTTGACTAGGCCATTCCAAGACATTTAAATATTTCCCCTTAAACCACTTGAGTGTTGCTTTAGCAGTATGCTTAGGGTCACTGTCCTGCTGGAAGGTGAACCGCCATCCCAGTCTCAAATCTCTGGAAGACAAACAGGTTTCCCTCAATAATTTCCCTGTATTTAGCGGCATCCATCATTCCATCAATTCTGACCAGTTTCCCAGTCCCTGCCGATGAATAACATCCCCACAGCATGATGCTGCCACCTCCATGCTTCACTGGATGGTGTTCTCGGGGGTGATGAGAGGTGTTGGGTTTGCGCCAGACATAGCGTTTTCCTTGATGGCCAAAAAGCTCAATTTTAGTCTCATCTGACCAGAGTACCTTCTTCCATATGTTTGGGGAGTCTCCCACATGCCTTTTGGCGAACACCAAACGTGTTTGCTTATTTTTTTCTTTAATCAATGGCTTTTTTCTGGCCACTCTTCCGTAAAGCTCACCTCTGTGGAGTGTACGCCTTAAAGTGGTCCTATGGACAGATACTCCAATCTCTACTGTGAAGCTTTGCAGCTCCTTCAGGGTTATCTTTGGTCTCTTTGTTGCCTCTCTGATTAATGCCCTCCTTGCCTGGTCTGTGAGTTTTGGTGGGCGGCCCTCTCTTGGCAGGTTTGTTGTGGTGCCATATTGTTTCAATTTTTTTATAATGGATTTAATGGTGCTCCGTGGGATGTTCAAAGTTCCTGATATTTTTTTATAACCCAACCCTGATCTGTACTTCTCCACAACTTTGTCCCTGACCTGTTTGGAGAGCTCCTTGGTCTTCATGGTGTTGCTTGCTTGGTGGTGCCCCTTGCTTAGTGGTGTTGCAGACTCTGGGGCCTTTCAGAACAGGTGTATATATACTGAGATCATGTGACAGATCATGTGACACTTAGATTGCACACAGGTGGACTTTATTTAACTAATTATGTGACTTCTTAAGGTAATTGGTTGCACCAGATCTTATTTAGGGGCTTCATAGCAAAGGGGGTGAATACATATGCACACACCACTTTTCCGTTAATTATTTTATATCAAAAAATGTAACAAGTTATTTTTTTCATTTCACTATTTTGTGTATGTCCATTACATGAAATCCAAAAAAAAAATCAATTTAAATTACAAAATAGGAAAAAACGCCAAGGGGGATTAATACTTTTGCAAGGCACTGTATTTGGTAAAAGACCAAGTCCATATTATGTCAAGAACAGCTCAAATAAGCAAAGAGAAATGACAGTCCATCATTACTTTAAGACATGAAGGTCAGTCAATCTGGAACATTTCAAGAACTTTGAAAGTTTTCTTCAAGTGCAGTCGCAAAAACCATAAAGCGCTATGATGAAACTGGCTCTCATGAGGACCGCCACAGGAAAGGAAGACCCAGAGTTACCTCTGCTGCAGAGGATAAGTTCATTAGAGTTACCAGCCTCAGAAATTGCAGCCCAAAAAAATGAGTTCAAGTAACAGACACATCTCAACATCAACTGTTCAGGGGAGACTACGTGAATCAGGCTTTCATGGTCGAATTGCTGCAAGAAACCACTACTAAAGGACACCAATAAGAAAGAAGAGACCTGCTTGGGCCAAGAAACACGAGCAGTGGACATCAGACAGGTGGAAATCTGTCCTTTGGTCTGATGAGTCCAAATTTGAGATTTTTGGTTCCAACCGCTGTGTCTTTGTGAGACGCAGAGTAGGTGAACGGATGATCTCTGCATGTGTAGTTCCCACCGTGAAGCATGGAGGAGGAGGTGTGATGGTGCTTTGCTGGTGACACTCAGTGATCTATTTAGAATTCAAGGCACACTTAACCAGCATGGCTACCACAGCATTCTGCAGCGATACGCCATCCCATCTGGTTTGCACTTAGTGGGACTATCATTTGTTTTTCAACAGGACAATGACCCAACACACCTCCAAGCTGTATAAGGGCTATTTGACCAAGAAGGAGAGTGATGGAGTGCTGCATCAGATGACCTGGCCTCCACAATCACCCGACCTCAACCTAATTGAAATGGTTTGGGATGAGTTGGACCGCAGAGTGAAGGAAAAGCAGCCAACAAGTGCTCAGCATATGTGGGAACTCCTTCAAGTCTAATGGAAAAGCATTCCAGGTGAAGCTGGTTGAGAGAATACCAAGAGTGTGCAAAGCTATCATTAAGGCAAAGGAGGGCTACTTTGAAGAATCTCAAAAATAAAATATATTTTGATTTGTGTAACACTTTTTTGGTTACTACATGATTCCATTTGTGTTATTTCATAGTTTTGATGTCTTCACTATTATTCAACAATGTAGAAAATAGTAAAAATAAAGAAAAACCCTTTTAATGAGTAGGTATGTCCAAACCTTTGACTGGTACTGTATATATATATATATATATATAATTATTGTATTTTTTGTTAAAGTATCAGTGTTTACCCCACCCAATAGGTGGCGGCAATACACCTTTTTGGATGTAGTCTGTACCTTAACGAAGAAGAAACGCATGGACGATAATCTCAAGTTATATCTCTCTTCAAAATGTCGAAACCACGGATGTTGAATGTGTTTATAGCTAAGCGATTAATATCTGCAGCCGTTAACATATTTGGGATAGAGGAAAAGTGGATAGCCCAGTACCAGCAGCAACTAGCAGCAGTGACTGTTGAGATAATGGCAGCAGTGGAAAAGACGATAGAACAAGAGCTCTCCCGTTCAAAGGAGGAGAATGAACGTCTACGGAGGCTTCTTCTGGAGTTGGGAGCAGGTTCGTAGTTAGGTCTTGAAAGAGAGAGGGGGGGTTTACACCGGTAACAAATAACCACCAGAGAGGGGCAGCTAGCTTAGCCCATAGCATGGCTAGAATTATCTGCTTTTAGCAACGCTGGTGTATTTCAGGGGAGAACGACTGCCCCTTCTCATTGAAGCCACTGCACGAACTTCAAGGCCGCCCGCGGTACTGCCGGCATTGTTTGCAGAAAAACAGGATCACCCATTATAGTGAATAGGAAAATGCCAATCTTCGTGTAAATAAATACACATTTCGAAAACAATCACGGTACCAATAAATGCTTATATTACTCCAGATGTACACAAGTTATAAGGATAATTTAGTAGCTAATGGCAGCCTGCAGTACCCCCGGTTGGCCTACAGCTTGACATACTCAATGAGAGGGCGCTAGCCTGTAACGTCACTTCCTGGAGGAGCTAAAACAGCGCATGTTATTGGCCCGTTTAAAACAACTCGGAAAAATACGAGTTCAAATCATGACGTCAGTGATCTTCAGGTCGGAAAAGCGGAGCTCTAGAAATAGCCGGAGTTGGATGACGGTAAAAAACGCGCTTTTGCCCAGTCTGAGCTCGGTTTTTCCCGAGTTCCCAGTTGTTTTGAACGCTCGGAAGTCGGGAGATTTCCGAGTTCCTAGTTTTAAACGTGGCATTAGTCTACACACATGTCCCACATGAGAAGCCATCATAACCGATTCCTTGGCTTCAAATAGGAATGAATGGTGTCACGCGATCGATGGCTTTGTCTATTCAAATTGTAATTGGTGTATTTACACTAGTATTGCTTTAAATTGCCTTGCAAAAAAACAAAACAGGAAGAGTCCGCAGGAAGCCAGACGTTAAATACAATTCCATTTCAACTTACTGTGGTGGTGGGCTGGACTGTTGGTCTTTATAACGGGGGAATTTCAAACAAAATATCTAAAGGAACGTATTATTAAGCAGACTTAACTAGAATAGATTCCCACCTACTGTGACGTATTATTAAGCAGACTTAACTAGAATAGATTCCCACCTACTGTTGGAAATGTTCTGTTCTGATTAGTCAAACGGCAGTGCTGGCTCAAAATGTGGCTCGGAAAACATACCTCAATGGTCCATGGCACTCTACCTCAAATTTTCCAATGATCCAAAATGCTAAATCGAGAATATTGAAATACTAAACTGCCTTTTTTTGTCCTCATGCTAGGTAGCAGAAGCCACAGCAGCCATTTTGGAATGCACATTTCATTGAACAACAAGGGGCCTGATTGGCTGACTATCCTTTGTTTTTCAACCCAACAGGCATTCCAAAATAACTACTGTGGCTTCTGCTACCTAGCATGAGGACAGAAAAGGCAGTTCGATTAAAAAATAGTAGTACTTCAATGTTCTCGAAGTAGCATTTTGGATAATGGGATAATCAGGAGTACAGTGCCATATCCCATTCCTAGATTGAGGTACGTTTTCCAAGCAATATCTTGCGCCAGCTTCGCCATGTGATTAATCAAAACAGAAGGCATTTCCAACCTTACAGGAGAGCAGAGCTTTAATGTTGGAATCTATTCTAGCAACCCATAGCTTAGCCACATTATCTGACTATCCGTTCATGTTATAGTGAAGGAGGCCTGTTTTCTCTTTCTGCGAAACTTTTACCAGGTAAGTTGTCTGAGAACACATTCTCATTTACAGCAACAACCTGGGGAATCAAATCAAATCAAATCAAATTTTATTGGTCACATGCGCCGAATACAACAGGTGCAGACATTACAGTGAAATGCTTACTTACAGCCCTTAACCAACAGTGCATTTATTTTAAACAAAAAAAGTAAGAATAAAAACAACAACAAAAAAGTGTTGAGAAAAAAAGAGCAGAAGTAAAATAAAGTGACAGTAGGGAGGCTATATATACAGGGGGGTACCGTTGCAGAGTCAATGTGCGGGGGGCACCGGCTAGTTGAGGTAGTTGAGGTAATATGTACATGTGGGTAGAGTTAAAGTGACTATGCATAAATACTTAACAGAGTAGCAGCAGCGTAAAAAGGATGGGGGTGGGGGGGCAGTGCAAATAGTCCGGGTAGCCATGATTAGCTGTTCAGGAGTCTTATGGCTTGGGGGTAGAAGCTGTTGAGAAGTCTTTTGGACCTAGACTTGGCACTCCGGTACCGCTTGCCGTGCGGTAGCAGAGAGAAACAGTCTATGACTAGGGTGGCTGGAGTCTTTGACAATTTTGAGGGCCTTCCTCTGACACCGCCTGGTATAGAGGTCCTGGATGGCAGGGGAGCTTTGCCCCAGTGATGTACTGGGGCCGTACGCACTACCCTCTGTAGTGCCTTGCGGTCGGAGGCCAAGCAGTTGCCATACCAGGCGGTGATGATGATGCAACCAGTCAGGATGCTCTCGATGGTGCAGCTGTATAATTTTTTGAGGATCTGAGGACCCATGCCAAATCTTTTTAGTCTCCTGAGGGGGAATAGGCTTTGTCGTGCCCTCTTCACGACTGTCTTGGTGTGTTTGGACCATGATAGTTTGTTGGTGATGTGGACACCAAGGAACTTGAAGCTCTCAACCTGTTCCACTACAGCCCCGTCGATGAGAATGGGGGGCGTGCTCAGTCCTCTTTGAAGGGGAGATGAATGAGCCAATTGGAGGCTGGGGATAATTAGGTGGCCATGATGGTATGAGGGCTAGATTGTGAATTTAGCCAGGACACCGGGGTTAACAGCCCTACTCTTAGAATAAGTGCCACGGGATCTTTAGTGAACACAGAGAGTCAGGACACACGTTCAACGTCCCAGCCGAAAGACGACACCCTACACAGGGCAATGTCCCCTATAATTGCCCTGGGGCAATGTCCCCTATCACTGCCCTGGGGCAATGTCCCCTATCACTGCCCTGGGGCAATGTCCCCTATCACTGCCCTGGGGCAATGTCCCCTATCATTGCCCTGGGGCTTTGGGATAAATATATTTATTTAGACCAGAGGAAAGAGTGCCTCCTACTGGCCCTCCATCTCCACTTCCAGCAGCATCTGGTCTCCCATCCAGGGACCGACCAGGCCTGACCCTGCTTAGCTTCAGAGGCAAGCCAGCAGTGGTATGCAGGGTGGTATGCTGCTGGCCAACTGCATATAAGAGTAATGTGATGTAGCCTAATGTAAGTAGCTATCTAACTAAGCACTCTCATCCCTTGTCGTTCCTCATTGTGACAAAAGCAAAGAGCAGCCACCCTCCTAGCTAGATTAACTTCTATATGCTGTATGATATTCCTTTAGCCTCAGCAGAGCACAGAGACACATGAGTGTATTTGGATAAATGTGACGTATCTTAGGTTTTTTCTTGATTGTCTATCTGGATAATTATTCCCTCTCCTTCTCTCCAGACCCCCAGCAGCTAACTGTCCCTGAAGAGGTTCCTCCTGAGCAGCAGCAGGAATGGAGCCCCAGTCTGGGTCAGGAGGACCCAGAGGCCACACAGATTAAAGAGGAACAGGAGGAACTCAGGACCAGTCAGGAGGAAGAGCAGCTTCACAGACTTGAGTCTGATCCCACAGATGTTGTAGAGTTCATATTTACTGCTCCTCCCTGTGTGGAAATAGACTCTGATCAGGACAGAGAGAGGGAGAGGGACTCTCTACCCACCAACACAAACTGAACAGATCCAAACAGAACCTGATGGAGAGGACTACAGAGTATCAGAACTAACCAGTGACTCTCTGCTCCTCTCTGCAGTAAATCCAGACTGTTCTGCAGCTCACAGTGAAATCATTGTAAGTGTGGATGAAGACGAGAGTGAAGAAGTTCTGTCAGAGTTAAAGACCCTCAAATCAAGGAGGACACAGGCAGAGAAACGACAAAGCTCTCAAGTCTGCCCTGAGGCCAAGACAACCAGTGAGCTGAAAGAACCATTGAAGTCTCACACAACTAAGACACCATTCAAGTGTCCTGTGTGCAGTAAACGCTATAAGACACTAGGCGGTTTTTAAAAACACATCAGAGAATTCACTCAACTAAAAATAGTTATCACTGCAAGAAATGTGGCAAATCCTTCAACTTGTCGCAGCAGTGGAAGAAACATATGAAGAATCACACAGAGGAGGAATCACCTACATGTCATGTGTGGCAGTAAAAGCTTTAAACTACCAAACCATCTGAAAACTCATATGAGATGCCACACCATAGAGAAATCCATTCAGTGTTCAAACATGTGAAAAACGCTTTAAATCAGAGAAAGACCTAGAGATTCACCAGAGAATTCACACTGGAGAGAAACCGTATCAGTGTCCAACATGTAAAAAATGCTTTCAATCAACAAAATATCTGAAGAGTCATCAGAGAATTCACACTGGAGAGAAACCGTGTCAGTGTCCGACATGTGAAAAATGCTTTAAATCAGCTAAATATCTAAAGAGTCACCAGAGAATTCACTCTGGAGTGGAACCGTATCAGTGTCCGACATGTGAAAAATGCTTTATGTTTGCAAAAGACCTAAAGAGTCACCAGAGAATTCACACTGAAGAGAAACTCTACCACTGTCCCAACATGTGAAAAATGCTTCAAGTCAAAATCTGATCTTAAACACCACAAGAAAATTCACGCTGGTGAATATAACTGCAAGGATTGCAACAAGTGTTACCGGACCAAGACGGGCTTAGAAGAGCATTTGAGGACTCACACAGGGGAGAAACCATATAAGTGTTCTGTGTGTGAAAAGTGTTTTACTTCAACAACCATTCTAAGACGCCACCAGAGAACTCACAGTGGAGGAGAAACCACATGGATTCACACAATGCAACAAATGCTTCCCCATCAAATCAGACCTGGTTAAACACATGAGAATTCACACAGGGGAGAAACCTTTTAGCTGCAAAGAATGTGGCAAATGTTTCAGTCATAGCATTAGTCTGAGACTGCACATGAGAACGCACACAGGGGTGAAACCATATAGCTGTAAAGAATGTGGCAAATGTTTTTCTGTTAACAGTAACCCTGAGAATGCACATGAAAATTCACACAGGAGAGAAATCGTTTTGTTGCCAAGAATGTGGTAAATGTTTCCGTCATAAAATTAGCCTGAGACTGCATATGATGACTCACAGTGGTGGAGAGAATCTACATGGATGCACTCAATGCAACAAACGCTTTCCCATCAAATCACTCCTGGTTTAAACACATCAGAACGCACACAGGGGAGAAATCTTATAGCGCAAAGAATGTGCCAAATGTTTTTCTCATAACATTAGCCTGAGACTGCACATGAGAACGCACACAGGGGAGGAAATCATATACCTGCAAAGCATGTGGCAAATGTTTCCAACACAATATGGGTTCTGACAAGGCATATGAGAACTCACACAGGAGAGAATCCATATAAGTGTCCTCTTTGTGTCAATTCTTTTATGTCATCAAGTGGACTAAAACATAAACAGCAAATTCACCTGGGAGGGAAACCAGAGACCGACCAACCAGAGAAACCATCGTGCCTCTGCAGCAATTGTGGCAAATGCTTCCCAACTATGAAAACCCTGAGAGACCATATGAGGACCAACACGAAGAAAGAAGGCATCAGTGCTCTGTTTGTGGAGATTTTTTTATATCATTGGGTTCTCTTAAAGTTCACCAGAGAATTCACACTGGAGAGAAACCCCACCAGTGCTCTGTTTGTGGAAAATATTTTGCATTGTAGTGATGACAGACAGCTGTTGGTCAGAGCACTTCTCTGGAGCCGCTGAGCCACAGGAGCGCATTTCAATCCTATAGTAGGACTCATTGCGGCCAGCAGGTAAACAAACAACTAAAATGAACGATTAAAACAAACAACTAAAATGAACGATCCCTCAGAAAACTATCATGACTCCTCAAGTCGTAAAATAGTTGTTCGACAAAAGAAGAATCGTTTGCGAACTTTACACATCCTACTTCGCTTGTCAGGTTATCTAAGCTCCCCAGGGAATTCAGCTCTAGAGGAAAACATTGTCAGGTTTATTTTTAATAAATTTGCAAATCATTTCTGAAAACCTCCTTTTGCTTTGTTACTATGGGGTATTGTGGGTAGATTGATGAGGGGGAAAAACATTTAATCGCAGTTTAGAACAAGGCTGTAATGTAACAAAATGTGGATAAAGTCAAGGTCTGAATACTTTCCTGCCATGAACTGTATAATACCAGTATTCACCTGCTACCTAATAATACTATGTAGTTAACAAGACGCTGTAAGGTGATTTAAGCATATTCAAGGGGCTATAGTTCAGACTGCAGGTAGAAAAGCCACGGAAGGTCTACTGGCTAAAGGTCGAGATTTTGTCAATGAGAGGATCACATACGACCATGAGCTTAAGGTACAAGCATTCAAGGCGATTACAATGCATTATTCTAGGCATGGTGCAAGGAGGAGAGGAAGAGAAGTCTAGCTCTACTAAGCGCCATGCCCAAGACTGCCCTGGGGATGGAAGAGAAGTAAGAAGAAGAAGAGAAGGAACAATTAAAGGGTAAAGAGAGGGTAGGCAGTGGGTCTTAAGGGAAAGGAGAGGGTACAGTGGGTCATTAAGGGAAATGAGAGGTACAGTGGGTCTTAAAAGGGTATAGGAGAGGTACAGTGGGTTCTTAAAGGGAAAGGAGAGGGTTACAGTGGTCTTAAGGAAATGAGAGGGGTACATTGGCTTATACGGTAAGGAGAGGGGTACAGTGGGGCATGTAGGCAGTATATTTATGTGATCTGTCATTCTTAAGGTAAAGGAGAGGGTACAGTGGGCTATGGTACAGGTATATTATGTGTATTCAGTCTTAACGGGTAAAGGTGATACCTAGTTCAGATTGTACAAGCTGAATACTTCACCTGAAATGTGTCTTTCCGCTTTAACCCTAACTCCTCGAATCCAGACGAAGTGCGTATGGCTGCCTTAATCGACATCCAAGCTAGACCCCTTTAAGAACGCCTTTGTATCCATGAATCTAAGACCATTTAGAACCATTGGAGAGGAAGCTAAGACCCTTTTAGAACATTTGACATGGAACGTTCAAGACCCCTTTTTAGAACCGATTTGACAATGAAGCTCTAAGACTCCTTTTTAGAACAATTTGACTATGAACGCTAAGACGCCTTTAGAAGCCATCTTCGACATTGACTAGACCTTTTTTAAACTCATTGACTTGAAGCTAAGACCTTTTAGAACGGTCTATTTGAATTGAAGCTAAGACCCTTTTAACCATTTGACATTGAGCTTCAGAGCCCTTTAGAACATTTGACAGATGTACTAGGACCCTTTTAGACTATTTTGACATGAGCTCTAAGAACTCTTTTTAGAACCAGCTTCACCGTTTTAGTATACAAAAATGGTGTTGAGCCAATAGCATTACTGTTGAGTCATCAGACTACAGGATGTTATCACAAGCATGAACCCTGCTACGCCAAGGTGTGACGGAATGGGTTGAGAGCATACACCTCCAGTAGCAGGCTGAATTCTGAGAGTACAACTCTCTTACATACAGTTGACGAGACACCTTTGAGGGTTGGGCCATACCTCTATCAATAACTCACGCCACTCTGATTATATGCATCACCTAATAAACACGGATCAGCTAATCTGCTGCAAGGAGGCCTTTACCTGTGAAACAGCCTACAAGGCAGCATTCTGAACTGAACGCAGACCCTGAGGCTGAAATTGAATCTGATCAGCGCTGTCAGGATGGTATTATCCATCAAATAGTGTCCCTTTATAATTATACACGTATGAGTTACTGCATATCTCACAACCACATAGATCACAGCTAGCTAGCTGAACCGGAGTCAGCCAAGTTACCGGGGGGGGTTGTTCCTTGCTGCGTGTGGCTGTGTCTTTGTGGGCAAGGATGGGTAGCTGGCAGCCTCGGAGCGAGTGGGTGTGTCGAACGGAGTGGGTGTCAGTGCAAGTGAATGCAGCTAATTGGCGTAATTTGTTGCGCTCAAGACGTTCGGCGGTGATGGGCTACACGACGAGATAAGCCAGCGACCGTGCACCGGTGTTGGTATCGACATGCCCCGTCTGACCGACTTGATTGCCTTCCTACTGGGTAGCACAAAACATACAGTTCTAACTTACTCAATGGGCTGAGGACATGACCGTGCAAACAACACTGGACAGTGGCAGTGCCTTCGCACTCCGCTTGTACGCAATCCTCCCTCTTACCGCTCCCAAAAAAAAGTCCCGCGTGACTGACAGCAAGGCTACGTCGGCGCAACGGAGTCGTGGGGAAGTAGCTACTGTAGATCAGAAAGAACATTAGACTTTGCTGACGTTTGCAAATGTGTGTTGAGGAATTGACTCGCTTGCGGAGGCATCTGGAAAGCATTACGATAGGGCCGCCTAAATACAGAGGAAGTCTGTCTGTGACGCCTAGGGATTGTTCTATTCTCAAATCAACCGCCATCGTATTTACATATTATAATACCATGAGGTTGGAGGACAAAGGAGCGGGAGATATTACCGATATTAGAGATTGGGTAGTGTTTCTCCATATTGTCTGTAATATTACGGCTGGCAATCTTTGATGGTATAAACCATTATAATAAGGAAACAGTGCACAGGCGGCATTTCTTGTCAATCACGCACAAAATTACATCGTATTCAATCTCACACTACAACACACTAGTGAGCCAAGAGCAGGGGGCGGCAACTCTTCACACAAAGCGTGAGAATAAGTCAACTGACCAAAAACAAAAGATACACATAAGCCCAATATCAAGGGGACGGAGTCAACCGAAAAACGGAAATCCAAGCGAAAGGGGGACTAGTAAATCACTCCCTACAATAGATACACCCATATCCAATGCACATTCCAGGCGTGGGAAGTAGCTACGGCCTAATACCCAATATCAAAATGGGTGACATCACAGCGTGGGAAGTAGCTACCTAATAGCCATATCATGGTTGACAGTCACAGCGTGGGAATAGCTACCTATAGCCAATATCAGGGTGAAAGTCCCAGCGTGGGAAGTAGCTACCTAATA